GTTAGCCAAAAACCGAGCGGTTCGGTTGAAACCGTCCGGTTAACTGCTAATCGAAAACCGTTCTGCCCCCCTTAGCTGCCAGCAACCGGTGAGGCACCAAGCGGCAGGCCCAGGAAGACGGTTGGAAGGAAAAGGGGTATTGTAAGTTTGTAACCATTCCATTACTACCAAGCTACTGGTCATAAAAAGACCCAAAAGATAGAGAGGCCAAAATACCATCAGTGTCGGTGACTTTGAGGAGCAGGTTGTTTGGCGCTGCCGGCTGATGTCGATTGGGAGGGTGCCTCTGGCATGACATGTTTTCTGTGGAAGTTTAAGCCGTGATTATGAGGAACCAATTAAAAACTGAGTAAATCGATGATAAAATAGTACCATGTTACACGACGACTTAGGAGTTGCATAGAATGCAGAACACATGCAGATGGGGGAAAAGTAAGATCAAAACCTGGACAAAACATGATAGCAAGTAAAGATACATTGCAGAACCCAATAAAACCCTGAGAAATTGAGAATGAAGGCTGAAGCCAAGTAAAGATACACTCGTTTTCCTTTTTGTGCACTCGTTTTAGACTGAAGCCTGCTCTGCCAGGTTCAGGCGGCTCCCATCGCTTCCATTCGCTTCGATGGAGGTGCCTTTTGCCGTCGTTCCATTAGCTTTCCTTTACTTTCCAGTTCTCGATATTTGGACCCCCTGCTCTGCTTTTTCGAGAAAGGAGATTGTGGCCCTTTCGAAGTTGTTACCGTCTCCCTATCTTACCATTGCCTGATGTTACATATGTGCTCCTCATCTCATTCCTTTGTTTGCCTTCTCTCTCTTCTTCTTCTCTCTGCTCTGGTATGCCTGGTCATAAGCTTCTGCTCGATCTAACAGACAGGGATGGCCTGCAAACGCTTCTCAAGCTGTGCTTGGTACATGCTTGGGGATCGTACGGCATCCAGGACCCCTCACTCATCTTCAACTACTGCACTCTTTGGACAGACGAAGAAGTAAGCGTTCGTGAAAGATGCTTTGGGTGCCAATTTACGCTTACGTTCCCGTTTCTCAACCACGATGCTTTGCCGTTACTTCTTCACTTTGCAGGGGACTTTGATCCAGGGAGTGGCTCCGCCAAACCTCACCTAGCACTTCCAACCGATTCTACAGTTGGGGTCTGTGTATTTGGTGAGCAATTTTCGTGCCAAACCGCCGGATCCTGTCTATCGCCCTTGCTCCCAGAAACTCAATATTCCTTGAAAATGACGGATATGAAAGTTTGATATGCCTTGAAAATTTTGATATGCCTTGAAAATATACGGATATGAAAGTTTTAAACGAATAAAATATGTACATTCATTTTGTATACGTGTATCAATTTTCATATAAACTTGTAAAGGTAAATTGTCACATTCTTCACTGTAAATTTACCGTGACTAACAATTAATCACGGGAAATGATGACTAAAAAACAGTAAATTAGTTCCTGTGTTTAGAACTATACAATCAAATACGGGAACTTTTTCCTTGACTAATAGCATAATTATAAGTAGGGGAAACATTCCCGTGAATAAGATTCTGTGACTAGAAACCATATTTCCTGTAGTTAAACGACAATGGACTCAACATGAGAGTGTTTATTTTGGCAGTGTCGTTGCACAACACCATTGGGATCACATCCTCCTTTCGTGGAAAATGTTTTATATGTGCTCTCCTGACATGCTACTACTCAATCTGTGAATAATTATGGATCCTATATAAAAACCTAGATGAGCCATTTTTCCTATATGGTTGCTCGATTAATTATTTTATTAACCCATAAATTCATCAAATTAGGTCTAAGACAACAAATTAACAAACGAGCCTATAAACCCCTGATCATGCCTTCGTTCTTAAGCTTTGACAACATAAACGATAGCACCTCCATGACAAGCACAAACAGGCCCGGCGATAACGGATCTCCCTGGCGAAGACCCTTTTTAGGTTTAAAGAAGCCTTTGGCTTCTCCATTAATAATCGTCGAGATAACCGGCGAGCACATAGCCCCACGAATCCACTCATCCCATTTCCTCGGGAACCCCAAAGCCGAGATAACTTTAAACAAACAACTCCAACTCACATTATCAAACGCCCGCTCAATATCAAGTTTAAACATTAACCCCGGTTTACGGCTTTTCTTTCTGCTGTCCAGGAGCTCAAAAGCAATTAGACCCACCTCCAAGATCTGCCTACCCCGAACCGAGGCTTGCTAAAACCAGTTTTGGGAGCACCAAGCTTAGCCTTCGGGCCAAAATCTTGCTGATAAGTTTGTTTAGACTCCCCATCAAGCTGATGGGCCTAAGGTCCTTTATGTCCTCAATCGCATCTCTCTTTGGGACGAGACACAAGAAAGAGTGTGTGGCACTAAGAGGTAAAGTGCCAGAATCATGGAACTCAAGTAAGGCATGGAGGATCTCGATGCGAATAAACTCCCAGCACTTCTTATAGAAATCTCGCGAAAAGCCATCAGGACCCGGTGCTTTCCACCCATCACTATCTCTCAGACTCTCCAAAGCCTCACTCTCAGAGAAATTAAGCACAATGGAATTAGCTTCAGCATTGCTCAACCTGATCATCCCAAAATCTCTTGGAAAAGGGCGCTTGGCAACAGTTTCCTTGAAGAAAGAAACATAAAAATCAACCACCCCTATAGCCAATTCCTCCCTGCCTTCAAACCTCACACCTTCAATTTTTAAACATTCAACCATGTTGAATTTCTTCTTCAAATTAGCCATCACATGGAAATACCTTGTATTATCATCCCCAAACTTCACCCAGTGTTCTTTTGCTTTCTGCCTCCAAGAGGTTTCCTGGAGAAAAAGAAGTCTTCTCAACTCCATCTTCAACTCCTGTCGATCCATTACCTCATTATTATCCAAGATTCTACACTCCTCGGTTGAATCCAATTCTTTGATTCTGGACAGGGCTGCCTCAATCTGAGTGTTGATATTTCCGAAGACACTCATGTTTCACTCCTTGATAAGACTCTTCAGATTCTGCAATCTCTTGCACCACCGAAAGGCTGCCCCTCTACCTTCAATAACAGTCCTCATCCATGATTCCATTCCCTCAAAGAACCTCTCATCATGAAGCCACATGTTTTCAAATTTTCATGGTCTCTTGACTCTCCCTGAATCCCCCCATCTGATAAGCAGCGGGTTATGGTCCTATTCAACACGCTCGAGAGCCATCAAGGAGCAATTAGGGAACAGGCTGTTGAAATCCGGGAAAATAAAGACCCTATCAATGCGAGACAGAGAGTTAGTCCCATCACCCCTGCACCAAGTAAAAAGACTGCCACTGAGTGGGAGTTCTAAAAGAGCATTGCTCTCAATACAGTCATTAAATTTCTCCATAAGATTAACATTCCGTCTGACCCCCCTATAGTCATCATGATTGCGCACCAAGTTGAAATCTCCAGCAATGCAGAGTGGAGACGCTGCTGTCGAGCAAAGGTCATGGATCTCCCGAATGAAGGCCAATTTACCCTCTCTATCCTGCGGACCATAAACCACAGCAAGAGACCATATCTTCAGCGTGCTCAGTTCCTAGAGATTAATAAGAAAATAAAATGCCCCAATTTTAGTGTCTAAGACTTGGAAGCAACTCTTATCCCAGTGAATAGCGATTGCTCCAGCACTATTAGCAGCATTCTTGGCTGCCCACCCCCTGTCCCTGTTTCCACTGACATCCAAAATAAGCTCATCATTGCATTGGTTCCACTTGGTTTCAACTAGCCCCACAATACTGGCTTTTCTTCGGGCAAGTATCCTCTTAACTCTTCCCCTCTTACCTAAATCACCCAGACCTCTAGCATTCCACACAATAATAGACTGGTTCATCATACCTTAGAAGTAGAACCTTCCTCTGCCGTCCTCTTACTTCTTCTGGACCCAATTGCTGGAGATTCTACAAGCCCTAACCTGCGCTTTTCCATTTTTAATTTCGACCTGTGTGGTCTCACTTTTCGTTGATGTAAGATCCTGGCCTTATTCTCGATAATTCTCTCAACTTCTGCTTGACCATCATCATGCTCCAGATTGAACAAGGAGCCCATTTCGCGACTTCTAGCAATTAGAGTGTCCACATCGAACGGGAACTCTTCCAACCGCCACTCCATCCCTTGGCCCCCCGGGACACAAGAAGGAGATGGTAATTCTGAATCTATTTCAACTATCGGGGAGATGCAAATGCTTAAACCTGGTGAGTTGGGGGGGCTGACGGTGGAATGGTATTGTGATGAAGTCGAAATGGGGAGGGCATCCGGTGAGGGATTATGGAGTGGTTTGCAGAAGGAGAGGCAGAAAGGATGAAGCAAGAGGCAGAGGGTATGGGTTCAGAATCAAAGTTAGGTTCAGGAGAGGGGAGTGTGTCGATCCAGGGGAGGCTAGAAGCTTGGGTCGTGTTAGGAAAAGGACTGGGTTTGGCAATTGCAGATTGGAGGGAAGAGAGGAGGGCTCTAGGTTGGCTTGAGGAAATGGTAATCGTATGGAATGGGTGGGTAGAAAACATCTGCATTAGTCACAATTTAAGGATCTAGACAAAGAGCTCGCGTATACAGCCTGAGACGCTAGAACAACATTGTTCAGAGTCACCCTTCCACCCAGAAATAGAAACCTACGTTAATTTCCACCCTGCTAACTGAAGCTGTAACTTGGTGATTTTGGGTTGCAAAAAGAGTTCTTTTCTTGTAGTAAGAGAAAGGGGAAGCAAACAATAGGTAGTCCAATAGGTTCCTCATTTTGTTCTTATTTAAGATAGTTTGTAGAATCGAAAATAAATTAAAATATGTTTGATCCAATTGTATTCGATCAAAATATCTGTTTGATCTGATACAAACTAAACCGTGCATCCTTTGCATAGGCAGACAAAATTAAGCCAACCACCTGCCCAATGGCAAAAGGAAGGATTGAGGACAGGGAAGGGATTCAAGGACCCCACTCGGCTAAAAAATTGAATAGATAAATTAACTTCGCTTCCTCTAGTTAGCAATGATGGTTCAGACTTGGACCCAATAATCTTGCGAGTACTGGTTGTATTTAAGAACTTGAATAAACTCAAACTTCAATAGATAAATAGATTTTAGTATTATTATTTTTGTAAGGACCTCCATCGGTTTAAAATATGGCTACGCCACTGCCCCTACTAATTCAGCATATGTATACCGTATACGTACGGCTTTCATTATTGCATACTCAAACCATACCAGCCTAGCAGTTCAGGTTTATTTCCTTTACATACACAATATTCTCCCTGCACCCATCTTACTGCATCCAATCACAACCGTGGATATTGATCAATACCCCCGTCCACCGTCACTTGGCCTTTTCAAGTGGCGCCGTGATATTCAAACCTTCCCCACCGACCGAATCGTACCGCCGCAACATGTGCGCCACGATCAGCGCCGCCGTGAGCGTCACGTAGTCTTTCCCCGCGCACTGCTTGTTGTGCTCGCTGGGCGAACCGCTCTGCGGACCGTTCGACCAGTACAGGTAGTTCAGCAGCTCGGCCCCCTTCTCGCCCACGAACCGGTCCGGTTTGAACGTCTCCGGGTCGTCGAAGACCGTCGGGTCCCGCATCACCAGCGGCTGGAACCCGCACAACAGCTCGCCCTTCTTGATCTCGTACGATGCGTCGTTCGAGCTGAGCGTGAAGTCCTTCCTGGCTCGGGCGAACTGGGTCGGGACCGGCGGGCTGAGCCGGAGGGTCTCGTAGACGACGGATTGGACGAGGGGCATTTGCTTGACCGAGTCGAATGTTAGGTTTGGTCCTCCATTTTCCCTGGCCTCGACTCGGAGCCGGTCTTGTAAACCGGTTTTATCGCTGAGTAACCGGCCGAATAGACTGGGAAGAAAGACGGAGAAGCCACCGAAGGCGTTAAAGCCCAGGATGAAGAGCAAGTTGTGAACCACTTCGTCCTCGCTGAGTCCGTATTGAGTCACGCCGAGTTGGACCACCTCTTGTCCTGGTCACCATGACAGAATGGTTAGTAAAATATCCCACCTTGGAGGACTAACACCACTGACAACAAAACGACAACAACAAAATGACAATAGGCAGGTTGGTGACAGGATGATTTTAAGTCGAGTATTTTATTTTGTGATACAGATTGGGATAGATCAACTCATACATGTATGTATTTTAAAAGGAGAACTCTTAGAAACATTGACTTTTTAATAAATAGATCAAGAAACAAATTATGTCATAGTAAATGTAGTAAATTATTCGACAAATTGAAGGTATCATGTATGTACAACTTTATTATTGTTAAAATATTATATAATAAAAGTAATATCTCTGAGTAATTCGAATAGAATTGCACATAACTTAGACAAAACATATCAAGAATAGAATGAGGAGCGTACTCATGTTCGTCTCATCTCAAAATCGATCAAACATAATAAGTAAAATGGATCAGGTAGAAATTGTCATCCCTAACAACTATAACAATTTTGTATACTAACAATCAAACGACACCGTAAGGAAGAGAGTGAGGAATTTACGGTGCACCTTGTGACTTGATGAAATCCGCGAGCTTGTTGTAACCGCCGCTGACGAGGAAAGAAGGGTAACGAAAGGAGTGGAGGAAAATTTCCTCCAGTGGCTGGACGACGTTGATGCTGACTGTAGGGAGGAGCTGGAAGGCGAGCCAGGCGCCGATGATGGTGGGCCCCGACTTGGCGATGTCCGGCGACGCCGACACGTCAGCGCCGACGATGGACTTGGTGAGGAACTTGAAGAGGCACTGCTGGAGCGGGAGGAAGAAGCTGGCGGTGCCCTTGGATGACAAGTCGGCTTCCACCGTCGTCCACATCTCGTCCAGGTTGGACTGCAGCTCGGATATCCACACCTTGGAGCTCCGCTTCAGGATGTCCATCGCAAACTTTTTTATCTGCAATAATATAATTACCCAAACATAAAATATAAATAATCGTAATTCTTGATTAACTGCAAGAATGAGGGCATCATTTTCTAAAAAAGGATTATTTCTTGTCATTTCTAGAATATATTAATGTATATTGAAGCCACTCCCAATCCTTGAAAATTCACACCGCTGGATGAAGCTTGTCTAAATTTGTGATGGTCAACATGGGTTTTGTCGAATCGCTGTGACACCCGTCAAACTCCAAAAATTCTAATTTTAATGTTAGTAACTTATCGCAAGAATAAAATGCATGCAGTTGCCCATATATTTGGCTGAGACACCATGTGTAAATGACTCGTTTTTTCGTCCGTAGTTTTCAATTTTAATCCACCATTTTGTTTTTTTTATGAATCCAATACTTTCCAATTATTTTCAAAGAAAATTTTCAATTATTTTCATTAATACTTTTTGATTATTTCTAGTAAAATAATTTTTACTAGTATGAAGATCAGTTTCAAATATAGGTTATGTTTGGTTGTAAAATTATATACTTTATAATTGTTACGATTTGTAAAAAAAAAAGTTAACCTAAAATTACCATTCAAAATATTAAAGCTAATACCAAATATTGTTAAATATTGGTGAGTAAATTGGATTTTATTTTCCTAGTTGGATTTATTCGGATAGCAAATAAAAAAATATTTAACTGAAGGGTCAAATTTGAGGCACATAGAAGCATTTTGAGATATTTATAATTATATCATTGTAAATAGTTATGCTTCGTATGTTGAATTGTAACTTTGGACCACTAATCCTACGTGACAATAGGCTTATTGTCTAAGAGTGGCTGTGGCATGTAGTGTTCTCCTTGTCACTTTATGTTTGTGTCACATATTCTTCTTTTCTCTTTCTGGTGTGTTTTGATTAAGGACTCGTAGGCATGACAATTCTACTTGTATATGAAGATATCTTACTCTTTTAATTCAATCAACGAGATGAATTTTCGTATTGATCGGCTATGGATTGGGTATGAGAAATACCAGCATAAAGAAAGAGGATTGTGGGGATCGGTTGGGACAAGTTTAGGTGTCCTCACTCTATCCCGAGGTAGTTTGGTTTTGATGATAGTTAAATCGATGTATTGTTATTAATGCATGCATAATAATAATAATAATAATAATATATAAGAAAATTGGTGTATTGTAGTTTATATCATTTGGTTTCTGTGATAGTTATTGTAGAGTACGTTTAAATAAATTATATTACTTTTTGGGCAAAATCTCATTGTTACCCTTTGTATTTAGTATAAAAAACCAACACATAAAAAGGTAGGGACATAGTTACGTTGGAAGAAAAAAAAAACACAACAATCTCAATCAAACAATCTCAACAAAAACTTGATATTTAATTATAACTCATTTTGAGTGATAGTTTGTGTCACATCAAGCAAACAATGCATGTATTATTTGTGCAGAAAATTAAAAAAAAACGAAGCATTATGGACATTGCATGCATCGTAACTATCTCAACCAAACTATCACCAAAACCAAACGAACCCTTAGTTCTCATACGTCATACCTATGCCTAACCCACATTAATTCATGTACAGGGGCGGAGCTGGAGGAAGGGGTTCCATGGCACCCCTTGCTCGGCCATTTCAACAAGAAAAAACATATACACTTGAAAATATAACTCATTTAGAATATAAATAAGCAAGGATTGAAAAATGGTATCGGAGGTTATATCGGAAAAGTAAGTGACAAGGTATTTTATGCTAAAATCGTGGTCAATTGTTTCATACCATTAAACACCGCCTATCGATTTCACTTCCGGTAATATTTTTTTTTTATTGAACCGCCGATACGGCACGAGTTTTCAATCCTTGAAAATAAGTACTCAATTGCACCCTCGAGTTAGTTTTTTTGGGGAAAATTTTAATATTTTTTATCAACTTACAAGAAAAACTGAAAATTTATTAAAACTTCACCTAAGACTAATTAATCTTAAATTAACACCCACGCAAGTAAATTTTAATTCTCTCGTTGTTGACCTTTCCTCAAAAAATTCTCAATATTTTAAGTCGAATAAGTGATGATATAATAAATTCTCTTTTTTTTTATGAGACTTTACAAATAAAATTTTCGATAGCTAACCTTTTCAAAGTATGAAATAGTCCTAACATATTTTTAAGGCAAAATACACTTGTATAGCCAAAACTTTCGCACTTGTGACAATAATAGCCAAATTTGGAGAAATACCACTTATAGCCAGAATTTTTAAACTTTTGTGCCAAATATAGCCATTTCCGTTACAAACTTTAACGGTGTTAGAGACTCCGTCAGTTAGTTTAACGTTAGGCTGACTAGGACGCCAAATCATCGCACACGTCAGCGACAAATCAGCCACATTCGCCACGTAGGTGACACATCATATTTTTAATATAAAAACAAATGAAAAAATTCATATATTAAATTTAAAAAAAAAATCGTCTGCAGCTGCTCCATCTGCGATTGCCACTTCCCGTCATCGGCTTCTTCTTTTCCAAACCCAAATCCATCTTCCGACGAAGATTTGGGGCGATCTCTGCAAATCGAGACACTTTCTTCATCTCCCACCTCCAACAAACCCCCCTCAATTCCACTGTCAAAACAGAGACACTTTCTCATTCTCTGTCTTCCAGCGGCGGCAGCGGCAGTACTTTGAGCAAAAGGAAGCCACCCATGTCCAAAATCACCATGCCAACCACCACCATCTCCAAACCACCATCTCAGCTTGAATTGGGTGTCGCCAATTCTTCTTCCTCTGTCGACGACGACGAGAAGCACTATCGAGGGGTTTGCCGGAGGCCATCGGGGAAATACGCGGCGGAGATTCGAGATCCCACCAAAAAGGGGGTCAGGGTCTGGCTGGGATCGTTCGATTCCGCCGTCGAGGCCGCCAAGGCGTACGACAGCGCCGCCTTCCGCCTCTGCGGCAGCAGGGCGATCCTCAATTTCCCGCTCGACGCCGGCAGGAATTCGGACTCTCCGGCAGTTTCAATTCCCCCCGATTCGGCTGTTCCGGCGGGATTAGGAAGAGGAAGATTGGGGAAATCGAGGGCGGTGGTGAGGGGAGTTTGAAGGCGGTGAAGGCGGAGAACCAGTCGTCGCCGGCGGTTGCGCAGGGTTTGGGGGAACCGCTGCCGTTGACACCGTCGAGCTGGAAGGAGATCTGGGACGGGGAAGTCAAAGGGATATTCAGCGTCCCGCCGTTGTCGCCGTTGTCGAAGTGATTCTGACGGCGATAATGGAGATGGTGGACAGATGGGGAAGACGAAGTAGATGAGAGGGAGAGAGATTTTTGGTCCGCCATTAATGGTGGGTCTGCTCAAGTTCTTGCAGAGGCACATTGGAAGGAGAGAATTTGTTTTGGCTATTTTATTTAAAGAAATTAAAATTTTATTTTATTTTATTTTTTGTTTAATTCCACCTGTGTCGCCACATCAGCCTTTCTGTTAGTCCAATCAGCATGTTAGTTGACACCGTTAAAGAATTAGACGGAAGTGGCTATAAGTGGTATTTCGCCAAAAGTGGCTATAAGTGTCACAAACGTGAAAGTTTTGGCTATACACGTGTATTTGCCTATTTTTAAACTCAAACCTCTTGTATCAAATCCTGACTACACCACTGCTTACCTATCATCTTATTTTATCCCTCCGTACGCTAAAATTTCAGAATAACACAACTCAAAGACCCTTGATTTTGCTTTATTCACAACTCTAAGACCCTTGATTTTGCTTTTTCGGTTCCATCAGTACATATACATCACCTCTTTAGAATCAACATTAGAATCGGCGTATATGTGATTTGACAGGGATGAGAGTGAATGAGTATGCCCAATTTTTTTAATTGTTGCGCGATCAAGCGCAATCGTTGTTGGTCGTGGTCCAAGTTTCTTTTTTTAAAACAGAAATAAAAAACGAAACTCGAAACGTACCACTAGCCATATAATAGGTCGACAAGTGGTTTCTTTTCTTTGTCGTCCAGCAAAACCGGGAAAGTCACCGGCGAGGTGAAGGTGAAAGGAGGGACCATCGACAAGTGTAGAAATCATTTTTTTTTTATAACTATTATAATAATTACGGAAATCCGAAAGCCTCCCGAACTATTTATATATTATTATGCCACTAATCACTGTTCTGAAATTGATCAAACTAAGTTAATAGAAAGCTATTGGGGTTATGACAAAATCAATAAATTATTCGGGTGACTACGACGTGTTAGCTAGTGTAACCTACGGATGGCAGAGTGGTCCTCCTAGTACAGCATGTGCATCGCTACACGAGTTTCCTTCTGGACAAGTATCATTCATCTATATTAGGGATGACAATTTACCCACTCATGGGCAATTTACCCACTCATGGGTAATTTTGCTCATACCCAAGTAGACCCATTTATTATGAGTAGGGTTTGGGTGATGTGTGTATGGGTTTGGGGTTTGTATATGGGTTTGGGTTAGGTATGGATATTATCTAAATGGGTATGGGTTGGATATGGATATCCATTTACTTGAGGGTTTTTTAACTACACATTCAAAAATTGGACTTATTTGTAAAACTTGAAAAATTTAGGTACCAAAATGTAAGACCAAAAAAATTTAGGTACCAAAACATAATTTTCCGTCGATATTTTGTGGACTTATATGCAAAAAAAAATTTAGATACTAAATATGCATATCTATTAAGTTTAGGTACCAAACTGTAATTTGTATTTGGGCATGGATACAAACCCAAATCCATTTGTTATAAACCCAACCCAACCCAAAGTAAACGGGTATGGGTACAAACCCATCAAACTTTACCCATATCCATATATTTGGATTTCATACCCAACCCAATTGGGTTGGATAGTAAAATACCCATGGGTATGGGCAAAATTGCCATCCCTAATCCATATTAAACAAAAACAAATCAAAATTATTTCTTAAGACTAATTTTAGAAAGAAAAAAAAAACTATTCACTCAAATCATCTTCTAAAATATCTGCAGAAAATCATGATTTCAATTTTTCAAAAATATAAAATCATTGTTAAACCATTTTAGCACTATGTAATACTAAAAGTTTCAAATAGCTCGTTCATGTTATCTGGAATGCATGTGTACATACAAAATCCTAGTATGAGGTGCTTTCTTGAGATTTAGCATACACTAGCTAATTAAAGTTAAGTTAGCTATGTTTCAATGTCGTACTTAAAGGAGATAAAAAAAAATCTCAATTAAATGGAGATGGATCATGACAATTAGAAATAATAGGACAAAATTTTACTAACTATACAGTTGAACTCATTTTAAGACCCAACTAATTCCAATAATTCAAGATAGTGGGAGGGATTCCTTCAAACAAAAGTCAATACATATAAATTTAAATTTTGCACAAATTCGATATCATGTGCTTAACAAATAAGAACTACCACATTAAAAAAAAAAAAGACATCTCGATTACAAAAGACTCTAATACTATATTAGAAAACAATTAGTCCCACTAATTGCAACCAGCTATATTTCTCTCATTTGTTACTAACTCGTTATAATATTGACCGCTTTCATTTATCAACTTCTTTGCCCAATTTAGACTCGAATTCTATAATTATAAAAAAAAACGTTTTACTTTAACCTATTTACTTTAACTTTAAAAAGAAAATTTCATTTGAAAGTCAATGTATTTTTCTTTCTTTTCACGTCTTTGATAGCCATCATCAAGGTTGTCGGACCCGGCCGAGCTAGTGGGTCAAGGGTTAATGGGTCAACCGTTTTAGCTCGGTTTGGCCCTGAAATATAGAAAGAGTCATTATATTGTACTTATCCTCATAAATTATATCAAATCTTATCTAACATATGAGTTATAACATATAATATTACACCAAAATAACATATCGTACTTAGATCCAACATATAGTGAAAATTCACACACACTTATATAACTTAAATATTCAAATGTTCAACTTAGTATTCCAAAGAATGAGTTAGGCGAAAAGAAAAATTGAAAAATAGGCGCATTTCGCAAACTAGAGAAAAAAATGATACAATTTGACCTCCAACCCGGTACCTTATAGCGGTCGGCCCAGCGGGTGCGTGCGGCCCTTTTTTCTCACCGGGTCAGGGTCAAATTGGGTCGACCCGTGGGTCAACCCGCGGGTTTACAACCTTGGCCATCATACATTTGATCACTAAAATTATGGATCTCATCCAAGTTTCAAAGTTAAATACGTTTTGGAAATAAATAATAGTACTTGGGTAGTTGGGTTGTTGAATGGTTTTTATTAAGAGTGACAACTCAGTACTCACGTAGTTTTTTCCTAAAAATTCTTTTTTTATTTTTATGGGAACCTGTATTTTCCTGACAATTCTCTGTAGTACAATTACCTGAGCGTGCTTGGGCTCGGAAGTGTCGAGATAGGCGCAGGTCCTGACGTTGCCGGTGAAGGCCACGCTGGGCATGAAGTCGCCGACGAGGACGTCCCTCTTGTCGGCGACCTCCGCGTCGAACATGTGGGCGAACGACTTGCAGTCCAGCACCGCCACCACGTTCGGGTTCACCCCGCCGCCGAAGAACGGGAAGCTCGGCGGCACGTTCGTACGGAACACCGCCGACCCGTACTTCTCCATCCGCTTCCTGAAGAACTCGTCGGGCCCTTGGAACCAGAAGTAGTCCAGCCTGTCCGTCATCGGCCCCACTATCGGCCACCCGTGCGACCCCGGGATCGGCTGCGGCTGCGGCGGCGGCGCGGCGGTGGTGGTGGACGTGGAGATGGAGGTGGAGGTGGAACCGGGTACGGATGATGACGGCGGAGGGGGCCTGCGGCCGCGGCCGGGAAAGGGGGATATGGTCATCATTTTCATCGTCATCGTCGCCGCCATGACGGTGGAGGGAGGAGCGGAAGTTCGGCGGTGGAGTTTTTTCTTTTGGTAGTTTGGGGAGAGTGTGATAAATGATTGTGTGGGGCGGGGGAAGTGGTGATTGGATTATAAACGAGAGGATGAGAGAGAGAACGTACGATGAGGAAAACAGGTGGTGTGATTCGCGTTTGTCCTCTTCTCGTATAATTGTGTGCCTTTTTTATGAATATTTTATACTTTGTTATAAGTTCACGTCCAATAAATTTAGGGCTAATACCAATAGGAAACCCCAAGTATTAACTTTGTGCCATTTGTATCCTAAAGTATTTGATACGACAATTGTGTCCCAAAGTATGGTAGTTTTGTGTCATTTGTATCCTGACACTTTCGTTGACCGTTAAAAGTAACGGTTGACCAGACAGACGGCCGTTAGGTCAGCTTCCGAAGCTTGCGTGGCACAATCCTGTTGGCCACGTAGACGACACATAGGCAAACACGTCAGATTAGTAAAAAAAAATTTACCATTCTGATTTAAATTAAAAAAAATATGATTTAAAATTAAAAAACCCTTTATTTTAACCCTCTTCATCTTCTTTGTAGCTCCTCTATTTCCAAACTTCTTCTTTGCGAGAGGGTCGTCGCGAGCAGAGGGTGTCGCGAGCAGAGGGCAGAGGGTCGTCGCGAGCAGAGGGCAGAGGAGAGACTGCGATAGCTCCCTCGCGTCGGAGTGGCGACGACGCTGGGTTTCAGTAACGCGGAGCGGCGCCGGTTCGTGGTGATTTGGTATTCATTGCGGCGAGGATAGTGGTGCGACGGCGTGCTTCGGAATTAGTTTGTCGAGGAAACCAGGTGAGAAGCTGTTGTTGGGTTGTTTTAGGGTTTGATGTTGGGTTCTCATTCTCCATAATGAATGGGTTTTGTGGCAGCAATTAAAACATGTCGGGAAGGAGATTCGGCCAAAGCACTTGTGACTCCAATTCTTCCAACTCTCGAATCGTGAAGTGTGGGCATAATATACCAGCAAAGTCTTATGTTTCAGGGACAGAACTCAATCCGGGGAGGGGATTCTACTGTTGCCCATATTGGAAGGTAATTTATGCATTATTTGTTTAGTTGGGGGATTTTATTCGCAAACAACAGCTCACTACATCTTGATTTATTTGTCAGGAGCCTTCAAAAAATTGTCTATTCTGGCGTTGGGTGGATCAGGGTAATGATGAAGAGGAAACCCCTAGCTCCAATGTGATTGTGGCAGATGATGAAGACATTAGGACGAAGTATGCTTCGATGGAGATTCATGTTACGAGCTTGAAGGAAAGCTTGAAACTTGCTGAAGAGAAAGCTGAGCGAAGGAAGCAGGCTAAAAAATGTTTGTTTGATGATTTAGTTAGCATTAGGGAGGAAAACACTAGGCTGGTAGGGGAACTGAAGTTGGCCAATGCTCGATTCTTGTTTGTGTTGTTCCTTTTCGTTGGACTGCTTGTAGGCATTGCCATTGCAGGACTGAAATGAAGTCTGCAAATGCACATGTATTCTGTAAGCAAACAATCCTGTTTCTGTATGTTATTGAATCTGACTTTGAGGAATTCCCTTGTATGACAGTAAGCAAACAACGATAGCATCATCTTATAAACATACCATTCAAACATCCTGAATTGTTCAACAGAAGATGATCAATATCATAGTCTGAACCATACACATACATAATTGTGTTGGTCAGTTACAAAGGCTGCCACTGCCATTGTCTAGATTTCCAAAATTAATCCATTGTTTGGGAATCTTACATGATTTCCTCCGGATATAACGCAACCATATTTGCGCAAAATAAACATGACCATCCATAATATCCATAATCTACTACGTTAACCCTACATCCCCTAATACTACCCATTTACAACCACTTTCCTACTGCTGCTGGCTCGGCTGTGTCGGTGGTGGTTGTGATCCTCCTTCAGCAATCACCGTAGGCGTTGACCCGGTACCAAGGTTGCCATATGGCCTGCCACTTCTCAACACCCTTCCTGGTCTATCTGGACCATTTAGTATCACATATGTGTTTCCTAAATCAGTGTGCAACACACCAATTCCTTGGTTGGCCTGCAAATAATTGAAGTGAGTTACTATACCGCTAACATGTCAAAGTTGTCGAGTACAATGAAACGAATAACTTACCATCCTAACTTCTCTGTCTTGAGCACGTCTACTAGTGACAGCACGATTGATGTGTGCTTCCTACCATTAACAAAGAAAAGACCATTCAACCACCACTTTATAAGTTCATTTACGTGTTATCTCAACATTCCATTCTATCATGAAAGCCAATGGCAATGGTCCTCTTACCTGAATTCCGCCAACTAGAGGGCATGTTCTGGCATTGTGGTCAGCCCCCTTACACTTTGAACATAACCCTGGTCTCCTTTTCACTGCCGAGGGTTGACCTTCCTCATTTGCAGCAGCCCCTCCATCCCTCTCCTGCCTCCTTCGAACAGTCGCACCCCTTCCACCAGTAGCACCCCTTCCACCAGTCAATCCCCTTCCACCAGTAGCACCCCTTCCACCAGTCGCACCCCTTCCACCAGTAGCACCCCTTCCACCAGTCGCACCCCTTCCACCAGTAGCAGCCCCTTCTCCTTCCAAAGCCTGCAAATTTAACCAAACACAGAAAAGAACATTCAACGATTCTTACAATTTTCACAATTTATCCAAACACAATTTATCCAAACACTTACCCGTTCAGCCCGAAGAACCGGACAAGTCCTCACATTATGGTCAGGAGCATTGCACTTCTTACAATGCATTACAGACCTGAACTTCCTCATAGCCGATCCATCACCACCATGTCGAACTGTCTCAATCTCCCCTGGTGTCTTCCTCCGTTGCTTCTTCGGACGTCCAGGTAAGACCTTGAATTTAGGAGGATAAATTGGGTAGCCAACTGATTCTGGCCAAGCTTGTTGGCCTTCAATAGTAGGAATACCAAACTCATATGCCATCTTGAACGACCCAACAGTATAGTAAGCAGACACGACTTCACTAGGCTCCCTCCTTTGCCATTGAAGGCAAGCAATTGCGTGTACACATGGAATTCCAGTCAATCCCCATGACCCACAACTGCATGTATGTTCGTCCAAGTCCAACACGTACCCTTTACGGCCAATGGCAACTTCAAACTTGTCCTCTAAGCCAGGAATCACTTGACACATCTTGGCTAAATCCACACCCTTCCTAATCTTCTTCTCTATCCTAGGACAGAGCCGATCCCTCCAACCACCAGCTTGTTTATTCTTTTCAACTATTCGCACCATGAGCTTCCTACGGATACCCTCGAGCATGTCAATGATCCTATCCTCCCTCTCTTCTAAGATATAACCATTGAAGGTTTCGCAAATATTACTTTCCACCGAGTCACATCTGGAGGTATGACTCATAAAAGCCCTGCAAAAGGTTTCTGGTTGATGATCCATAAAATCCTGAAGTAAAGATGGATCTGCCCCACTTTGTTGAATCTCCCCCATGACTTTGATGACTGCTTTGTAATCGTTGATGTTTGTTGCATACACAGCATCCCAGTATAAGTCTCTATATGCCTTCACCCTATGGTTAACCTTCCAATTCGCGAAAACATGACGTGCACACTTTCTTAGCGATGCCTCAGGTAAGCAACTGTTTAATGCTTGCACAAGACCCTACAAACAAGAAGAAAATCATCATCTACATCTAATCCAAACCAAACATTTTCACACAGGACAAACTTTCTAAAACACATACAATAAGTAATGGAATATTTACCTTGTGTTGGTCCGATATGACTGTCCACCCACGACCATCAATGGTCCTAAGATCTTGCTGTAAAATAGCCACAAACCACTTCCATGTTTCAAGACTTTCCCCTTCCACTACAGCCCAAGCAATGGGGAACATCCTGTTGTCTCCATCTTTACCAACAGCACTCAAAAGCATCCCTTTAACTTCACCTTTAAGAAAGCACCCATCCAAAGCAAACATTGGTCGGCAGCCCCTAGTGAAACCCTTTCGCAGCCCACTAAACCCAATGTACAACCTCTTGAACAACACTCGGTTGGGCACATTAGACGGGTCAACCTCTAGAATAAAAGTACCGTCTCTATCCCGCTCTTTCAAAGCACCAACATACCTCCTCAGCTTGTTATACTCCTCTATCAACGACCCTCCTAACATCCGCTTCGCATATATCCTCGCCCTATAGCATTGCCTCCTGGAAATTACAACATTATGTGTTTGCCTCAGCTCCAACATCATATTCTTTACCTTCCAATCAGGCTCCCTTCGAAAACGTTCAATGTACTTCTTAGCCACCCAAGTTGCATTAGCAACCCGCATCCGGACAGCCCTAGGACAAGTGTGATCCTTCCCAAGATTCTTAACCATAAACAAAGAACGAGCATGCCAACTGCCGTAGATATACCACCCACACTTCTGGCGACATTCAGCACGCTTCTTATTCTTGTCACTTCTCGTCCACTTGATATCGGCTCCAATTGAGATGGAATGCTCCTCCACTGCCACTTTGAACTGCTCCGGGGAATTGAAGCTCATTCCCACCGTGAACTTTAGTGTAGAATGTTCACATCTGGGGTCATAGTGGGGACCGTCATAAATAGGATCAGCTGGCTCTTCGTCTAGATTCCCACGAACATGTCGTGAGTCAACTGAACCTCTATATTCTGATTCGGGTAGAGTTTGGTTTCCCACTTGTTCTGCCCTTTCATGTGCCATATCTTCAGCTTCGGGTTGAGTTTGGTTTCCCCCTTGTTCTGACTGTACATGTGGGATAGCTTCAGCTTCTTCATCTTCAGCTTCTTCATCTTCAGCTTCTTCATCTTCAGATCCCATAGCATTGGAGGGAACATCTTGTTCGGTCTGCTCATAATCAGTTACAGATTCCTGCTCCACAGCTTCACCAGTTGCATCTTTAATGGTTCGAACTCTCATCCGTCTTGCTCTAATCCCTTGATTCTCCAAAGCATCGACGAACTCATCATCAGAAGTGCGCACCTCATCATCCATAAGATGGATGATGTCTCGATTCTGTGACTCCTCATCACCTTCTGTATCATAGTCATCACTGTTCCCTCCACTAGCCTCTTCATTATCTCCAACTTGAGTTTCTATACCTTCCATAAAGATGACAATTTTTTCATTTTCAACTGCAGGAATCAGTCCATCCATTACCTCGG